AAAAAAAAAAAAAGGAGAATAGGGTTAACTTTTTTAAGAAAAAAAAGACGAAAAAAGAGCTTTTCCTGTAAATATGGAATTTTTGGGGGGCTTCCCCTCTTTTCCTTGTTTTTTTTATTATTGTTATTTTTGGGTTTTCCCCCCTGTTTTCCTGGAGCCCAGAGTGCTGACTCCACACCGAGCGGGTGGACCCGCCAGACCCGCCGTTGCTTCTCATCCATAACAAATTCCCTGGGACTTTTTTTTTGGGGGGAGGGTGGTGGGAAATTTAAACAACAACAAAAAAACACAACCAAACAAACAAAAACAAAACAAAACAAACAAGCCGGATTTGGGCCCTGTTTTTTTCCGGGATTTTCCGAGGTGCAAGGTTAGGATGCTACAATGTTACCACTGTGCCTTCCAATGTTTCTCCATCGGCAGAACATCCCATCCTCCGAGTGGCTGATTCCGCGTCCCCTCTGTGTGTAGCGATTCCAGGGGCTGGAGGGGAGGGGGGAAATTCCAAGGAGTGGGATGGATTGACTCTATGTGTGGACTTTCCCCCCCCCCCCATCGTTTTCCTTGTTTCCGGGTGGATTTTCCCCCCCTCAGGCGCCTCATTTTTGTTGTTGTAGTGTTGTTTTTTTTTTTCTTCTGTGGAAAATGCCAATTTTTTGGGGTCCTTATGAGCCTTATGAGTCCTAAAAGCATTAAGTTGCACTTTGTCCAGGAGGGGGTTGATTCCCAGAATTCTCTGGCCAGTACAAAGGAAGTTTTTTCCGACCACGCCGCCGGTGGCACCGCAGCTCCGAAGCCTCGGCACGACCCGACTTCCAGAGTGACTCCCAATCCCGAGTGACTTTGGTGTACAGAACCAAGCCAGTGCTCATTAAATATTTATCAGCATCCCTTTCTGTCTCCAATCCCGTTTTTTTCCCAGCCTGACGTGGCTTCCCAATCCAACCTCTCCCGCCTCCCCCCTCTTCCCCCCTTGTCCAAGTCGAATTCCCGCTGAATAAACGCCATAAATCCATCCCCAAAACGGTCTAAATGCTCCATCTGTTCTCCTGGTTTGCCAGTTTTCCAGAGGCCTGGGAACAAAAAAAAAATCCAACCACAGACAAAAAGAGAGACGTTTGTACATTTTATGCAACAAAACCCGGCCTGGCCGGCTCGTTATTTTGGAATTGTGTATGTAAAAGTTCTATTTTTCCATGTAGACTCTCGTTATTCCGTGTTTTCCTATGTTGTGTCGGGGTCGGGGCGTCGTTGCGATGTTTTGTTTTTTTTTTTTCCAGTGGATTAAATTCTGGGTGGTTGAACGAACGAAAAAGAATCCCGGGGAGTGTCCTTGAAGGGGAAAAAGAAGTGGAATTTTCCCGTTCTCCTGAGAAAAACTGGGAAGAGCGAACCGAATTCCGTACGTGCTCCCAGAAAATCCGTTCAGGAAGCTTCCCGGCTTTCAAGGTGTCGATAAGTTGCCAAAATGTGGAGGTGGAGTCAACCGGGGGAAAACTAAGCCTGGGCTTAAATCCAGGTGGGAATATGGCTGGACTAGGAGCCGGGTTTAGCTGAGGGGGAGTGAGAACTCTGGAATTCCGGAGCTGGCAGGAGCAGGATGCCAAGGAACACGAGCCATAAATTCCATTTCCCAGGAAATATCAGCCCCGTTGGATCACACTGGATTGGGGTGTCCGAGCGCATCGCTCTGCCAGGATCGGGTTCAGCAGGAAATGGAGATTCCAAGGATTGAAATGCTGGAAAACCCCAACTTAATGTTTATTAAACTCCATTTCTGGATGGAAAGGAAATGAGGAATTTTGGGTAAAGAAACAAGGAGTTTTGTCCCCGGAACTGGAAAAGCAAGGGAAAGGTTTCCTTGTTCCTGTTCCATGTATCTGGGATGCTCCCTCAGCCAGCCTGGATGGAAGAGCCGAAGATCCCACTCCGGATGAGCCAAGATTTAACAAAACCACCTCCACTGAGTGTGTGATCTGTGATTTGTCCTTGTTTTCCCAGCCCAGGGAAGGCCTGCACATCATTCTCCGAAGCTGTGGAGGTTTTTATTCCCTGTGGGAATAAAACCAGGCTGAAAACTCCCTGAGGAAAGGCTAAATCTCAATTTTTTTTTTTTAGCGGCTTTTCCCCCCCCAGATCCACCTCCACATGTCAGGAATTTTTGGATCTGCTGGATCAGGAATGTTCAGCTGAAGCTTCCGAACCGCTGAGCTGCGAGAATGCTCCGAGTGCCAGCGAGGGAACTAGTAGTGATTCAGTCTTCCGAGGTTTTTTTGGAATTGTTTTCCAGGATTTCAGGGGGCTGGGAGGGAGGGAAGGTGCTGGAAAGGGCAATCAGGGAGAAATGATCCATATCCACACTCCAACTCTGACCAGTGCCAGGAACAAGAAAATTTTGGTGGAAAGAAGCACAAACTCCAGAGATAAAAAAAAAAAGCAACAAAATTTAAAAAAAAAAAAAAAAAAAAAAAAAAAAAAAAAAAAAAAAAAAAAAAAAAAAAAAAAAAAAAAAAAAAAAAAAAAAAAAAAAAAAAAAAAAAAAAAAAAAAAAAAAAAAAAAAAAAAAAAAAAAAA